CCATTCCGACTCATAGTGACCCTATTGGACAGGGTAGACCTGTCCCTGTGGGTTTCCGAGACTGTAACTCTTTTCGGGAATAAAAAGTACATCTTTCTCCCCAGGAGCGGCTGGTGGTTTCAAACCACTTTCTGGTTAGCAGCCCGATGCATGACCATTATGCTACCAGAGGTCCCTGTTAGGAGAGGCTAGTCCCTGGAAAAGGGCATCACGCTTGGTAGAGGGTCAGTGAAAACGAGAGAGATCTTCAGAGAGAGGGTTTCACAAGGTGGCTGCAACAGTGAACTCAAACATACAAGTGAGAGTGGTGTCCCTATAAGTCAGAACAGGCTTGATGGCACCTACCAATTTTAATGCCTTTTTTTTTACAGGCGTGGAAACTGATGATTACAACAGCTAAGCCAACTGAAAATCTGTGGGGGGGTTTTCTACAGTATTGTGCTGTTTAATTTAGTAATTGCTAAAAAAAAAAAAATCAATTTCCCTACTACAAGCATTATTTGTTTTGCTTATATTTTTAAATGGTCTTAGACAAATTTAAGGGAATTAAAATTTCATTATATAGTCCTTAAAGGACTAAAAAAAGATAGCACACACATATTACAATACTATGCATATATTTTATAAGCTCTGCCCTAACATGAGGGTAAGTAAAAAATATTGCTATAAAGTTAGAAATTTTTATTAAAATATCAAAGTGTGAAGCTACCTACTATTGGCACACTCAAGGGACTCACATCATGTTTATTTTAAATGTTCTTTGAGTTTTATGAACGAAAAGAAGACTGAAGGGGCAAGACTAGCAATGTGGGGCTGATGAGTATGATTTCTCAAAGAAATTCTCATAGGACACCCACTGCTACCATAAACATACATCGTTATGATGGAAAACAATTTTTTAGTACAACTTTACTGTCCTTATTCTCACCATTGTAGCTTTACTTTTCTTAAAACTTCTTCCTAACAAGCCCCCATGATTATCCTGTGTCCTTTGGGAAAACTCCACAAGCACCCCTTTTGAGTTGCCCTTTCTGCCTTCAATTTTAGTGGTGAAGCAGATCCCTTCGGAAATTGCGGCTTTGATTTGACCTTGTTCTCTGGATTGTGTTGGTAAATCTAAGTCTTGTCCTCAGTTACAATTTTTGTCCCACAAAATCTTCATTACCTTGGATTTTGCTTCTGAGATTGATGCAAAGTACCTCCTAGAGGTAGCGGATCTTTGCCTAACCCTTTTGGGCACCAGAGCAGAAAGTGTGCTCAGGCCAAGCTGTTCACTTAAAGTTAAAAACGCTGAACTTGCGTAGCTACTGCATCCACAGTAATGCTATGGTCCTGCCCTCTTCCACCAGTGTCTGCACTACGATTTCCTCCTCAGTTGCGGTCTTCCCTTTCTTGGCTCATCTTTGAGGTCTTTCTGCCCTTTCTTAGAACTCTTGATCCATCTAAAACACTGTTTTTAAGGATCTGGCAGAATTCCTGTAAAACTTGTTGCAAAGCTTCCATGAATTGGGAAGATGCCTATTTGAGTTTTCCTAAAAATTTGCCATTAGCCATAGTATAAAACGTATCCTTTTATTTGAAGGCACTCCAATGGAATTAAGAGGAATGAGGAAACTTGTTTGTAACCATCCACTGTTTGGAGAGACAGGTTTAAACATGCCCAGGCATGTATGTACTGGAAATCCCAGTAGCAGTACTTTTGACTTACCCTTGTGTGCGCTCACATATTTGAGTGGCTACTCTAAAGGAGCTAATGAGGTCTTTACATGACTGTGGTATGAAGGAGAGGGGGGCACGATGCGAGACATAATCAACATGGTTAGTAACTTAGTATAAAGATTGAATCCTGGTTCCAAGTAGGATATTATATAATTAATTAGGATATTTAGTGAAGGTAAGCGGAAGATACCAGCAACCTTGCTTTGGTGAGATTTCATAGCAGTAACCCTGGCGGTGTAGTGGTTATTTGTTGTGCTGAGATCCACAGGTACAGTGTTTGAAACTACCAGCTGACCCGCGGGAAGGCTGGGGTTTCTACTATCGACAATGACAGTCTTAGACACTCCCAGGGGCAGTTCTACTTGTCCGCTAGAGTTGCTAGGAGGTGGCATCGACAGTGAGGTTTTAGAACACCACATCCTGGACTGTGGCAAAGGAAAGGACAGAGTACTGGATAAGAAGAGGGAGCAGTACTGTACAAACACCAAAAATATAAATAAGCGTCCACTTTAGCTAAATTATTTGGTGAGTTTAAAAGCAGTAATGGGTTATGAAGCTAAAGAGGTAGATAGAGGTCAGATTTCAAAATATATAGTTATGTTATTTTAGTCATAGGAAATAGGCTGACATCTAGTCACAGCTGAGGCGTTCAAACAGAGAAATGGCTTTTTGTTGTGGGGATAACAATAGAACACTCCAACAAAGCAAGACTTAAAGAAAAACAAATCCTGCAATGATATCAGTGAGCGATAATGGTGAGACCCCTAAAATCACTGCAATGTGGAGGGTACAGACTTGGAGAGTGTTCTAGGAAAGAATAGTTTCTACTAATTCAAGCTATTCCCCAGGTGCTGGGAATGTGGATGGTTGGCCACTTTGTCTGTAAGCCTTCTCCATTAACTGCTTGCAAGGGAAGAGAGGTGGCTGCCCAAGTTCATGCTCTCTCATTCAGGGCAGCCTAGCTAACTAAAGGGTCATTCCTATCTAGAGTTGTATGGATTCAGCTCAGGTCACTGTTGCAACTGTATCTGTTTAGGTATTGTACCTGATATTATCTGGCCAACAGAAGATGGCAGGACATATGTTCAGCAGGTACTTGTCTTCATTACTGGAATTTAGCAGAGATGATACTGAGAGCTAAGAATGTTTGGGAAGTAACTAGCACATGGAAGACTGCCGAAATCATATATACAGACAAGACCATAATAGCAGAGAACACAGAGCAAAATGTTCACTGACGAGTGAATCACTAGAAAACTGCTGTTTAAAAGATATGTAGAAGAGACACTAAAAGAAGTAGAGAAAGAATAGTGAGTGTGGTAGTTACATAATTTCATGCCAACTTGATAAATAGGTTATAAAGGTGGAGTCTAGCCTGTCAATCAGGTCACAGCCTGATCGATGCCTCCTTGTGGGTGTGGCCTTTTCATGAGGATTCTGGGAACTTGCTCTCTTCCTCCCTGGAGGCGGGACACACTCTCTCTCTGCTTCACCCTCCTGTTGACAAGACATGAGGAGATAAACTCAGAGAGCTGGAGGAGCATAATGTCAGCACTGAGATGCTTGTATCACCACTGGATCCACCAGACTTCCCACCCACTGGCCTGTAATCTTCCTGCATTTGGCATCATCATCATTGCATGCGCTGCGTGAATCTGAAGAGGAATTTATGGACTGGTACATGGGCTAACATTGGACATATGGACTTGATCTGGACTGGGCTGTTTTCTTAATATATAATTACTCTTTGATATAAAGCTCTTTCCTATACATCTATGAGTGTCTATGAATTTCTCTAGTCTACCTAGGCTAATATAGTGAGACAGATGGACCAGCAGAGAGCACCAACATGGAAAAAGAGGGGGGTAGGGGATTTTAAGAACAAGGTAGTCATGTCAAATGTGAAAGAGACCAAGTAGGAAAAAAAATGAAGAGGTCAATGCATAACCACCACAATGATGATAGGATATGAAATGAAAAAGAGGTATCAGGTTTAGACTACTGTTAAAGAGTGTGATAGTAAGAGTGAAGATAGTTGAAGAAAAAGATAGGGTGGTAATTTGATAGACCGGCACAGTTAAGAGTACTTTTCCCCTTCCCAGAATGAAAAAGACTTGGCTATGTTCTGAGTGAGTGGATAAAGGTCAGGCAGGCAACAGAAAGGGGAAAAAATACCGTATTAGCAAGAACAGTGTTTGAATGAGAATTCCAGAAGAGGCTTGAAGGAGTAAGCTTAAAAGCACATGGAAGCATAACAAACAAACAAAAAAAAAAAGGTGATCAAATCATAGGATATGGGATTATTATTCTTTTTTAAAAATATACTTCCTATATCAAAGATAGAGTAATAGCTGAGTTATATATAGTCCTGGGAGAATGGATATGTCAAATTTAAACTTTTTAAGTATACTTGTCAGAGTTTTCTTAATGTTTATTACCTATACACGTCCACATTTAAACTAAAAGACTGTTTTTAAGGGGACTGCAGTGGTGTTGCTTTGGAAGGTGGTAACTTATTAGTTAACACATCTTCTCAGTTATCTATGGGTTAAAGAAAGCTTGTAATATTTTCAATATGACACCCATTTTGAATATATGATTTCTTATTTTATCACTTGCATAAAACAAGAGAAGGCAGAAAATATGCTGATGTATGTTTTTAGGATATTCATGTTTCTGAATATTAATAAAATTATTTGACCTGAAAAAAAAAGCACATGTAAAGCCATTAACCTTCATATAAATCAAAACATAACTCCTTTGAGACAAAGGTAAAGAAGGTAAGAAAAAAGAAAATGCTGCAGACTTGTATGGTCTGAAATGATAGCTACTCCTACTGACACAGGGCTACTGAGCACTTTAAGATATGCTGTATAAGCATGGAAGGAGCCAAGTGGTATAGTAGGCTATGCACTGAGATGCTAACTACAAAGCTCCCATCTGACTTAAAGCCCTGGAAACGCAAAGGGGCAGTTCTACTCTGTCCTACAGAGTCACTATGAGTTGAAATTATGTGGAAGTGAGTTTGGTTAGAGTATAAGCACAAAGTTTTGAGGGTTTAATTTTTAAAAAAAGGAATGCAAAGTATCTTAATGGTTTTTCTACACTGATTATATGTGGAAATAATGTTTATGGATCTATTGGGTCAATGAAACGATGTTAAATTAATTTCACTTGTTTTTATTTCTAAAATATGGCTATTGGAAAATATAAAGCTATGTAGGTAGCTTTATCATATTTCTATTGAACAGCACTGTAAACTATACGATGGCATTACTTACTGTGGGAATACAAATCTTGCTCAAGGGATTGCCATCCAGGAGATAAGATCCATTAAATGTCACATATTCATCATAATACTGAGGTGCTTGAGGAATAACACTACACAATAATTTATGCTTTTCTTCAATTTTTTTCCTAATGTGCAAGTATTCAAAATATGGATTTGCTCTCTCTGAACTGTATGGCTGAATTGCATCTAGTTTCAGGGAATCTACAATGGCTGCCAGAGATTTCTGCGTTTTCTCTTTGGCTTGTAGTAAGAAGGGATTCACTTGGACAGGTTGAGGGACACGAGACACTTTCCTTTTTCGTGGATGGTGAACTTGAGGATCATCCTCTTCAGTTAATCTGATCCTTCCTCTAGGAGATGAGGATTCATTGTCCTTTTCGGACACGAGTGTACAGCTAGCCAGGAAATGTTTGCTTTGATTGACCAACGTATTTGTTCTGTTTCTAGTCACTCTTTGAGGAATTTGGTTTTCAATTTTATCATCTTCAGCAGTTTCCTCTAATTCTACTTTAACAAATTGACCAAATTTATGGATTTCTGATGGAACCGATTGTTGTGGATGGTTTCCCAGATTTGTTAAAGTGCTTTGTTCAGATTCTTCATCTTGTATAGATCGCAAACACTTTTCATTTCCAGTCCAATACTTTGGATTATCTTGTTCATTTGTGTGTGTTTTTGGAATCCTTTCATTTTTATCACAAAAATCGGAATCATACTTATCATTCAAGTGTGTTAAAATGAAACTCTCTAGTTTGTTTCCTTTGTCATGTGAAATAACCTGAATATCAGTTGTGCTACTTTCTACCTCAAAGCTACTGGAAGACTTAGACAAAAGTTGGTTAAATAAAATATGTGTACATAGCTGGGAAGAAGCATCATTTCCATGAAAGTCCCTTTTTGATGGTAACATAGGTAAAGCATTAGCCTTTTCAACAGTTGGTGATGCTTCTTGTACAGTGGTTTCAGAGTACACTGAGACAAAGGCATCTGTTTCTGGAATGTCGGCTGGATTTTCTATTTCTTTTGTTGATTCATTATCAGTATCTAAAACAGAACTGATAGTTTGAACTGAATTTTTCTGTTGCAAAATCACTGGTTGTTGATAGGCAACATATGACAAAGATACATGCTTAGAGGTAGATTCAGCATCTGCAAGTGATTGGCTGTGGAAGGATGCTGGATCTTGAGCACAAGACTTTCCTGGCAGTTCAGTTTGGTGCGGAAATGAAAAACCCGAATTCTGTTCTTTCACGATTTTGTTTTCCGAATGACAAAAACCCTGACCAGAGGAATCCTGATCAAGAGTACCAGAATTTGGACAAGTCAAGTCACTGGTACTTAATGACTCCAGTCTGTCAACAGGTATCTCCCATGATTGACTTTGGATCACATGGACCTGATTAGACATCTCTAAATGCACAGGATCTCCTATTAAAGAGCTGATTGCAGCAGTACTTTTGATAACATTTGTATCACCTAGATTACATTTGCTGTTTACAGTTCTAGTTGGAGAGACTGTCAAACTGGAAAGTATGTTAGATATATTTGAAAGGTCACTTTCAGGCACATTTGAAGATACCTTGGGTTTGGGAGAAGAGCAAATAGCTTTGGGCACAACTAATAAGGTACGTTGATGGCTTTCTTCGGCTATTGCTGGGGATTGCTTTGTATGTTCACAGATGACAGATGGGATACTGCATCTTCCAACTTCTACAGAAGGTTTAAACTCATTTGTAATTAGCTTAATATCTTCTACAAAAGACCTGAGATGAGATGATGGAAGCCTGTTTGCACATGTTGATTGAATCCGCTCTGGTGCCTCAGCCAAACCTTCTACCTCCCTTTCATGAAGAGCAGGAGACTTGGTCAGTAGCAAAAAAGGTGAGTGGGAAAAGGACATCTGGGAATCTGAGCCCTCGAACATGAAGTCAGAGTCGTACTCCTGTGGGGGCCGTGGGGTCGTTACTGTCGTGTGGCAGCAATCTTCTGAGCCAGCAGCAGAAGTCATGGACGTAGATCTGGAGCTGACATCGGGCTTTTCACGTTCAGAGATCGGAGACCTGTTTAAGCTAGTATCTGAAACAAAGGACAACTTCCCCAAGTTCATTATATTTTTGTTGTCAAGTGATTGTGATCTGTTACTTGTAGCCTCTTTAGGATGTTTCTCCTTGGAAAAAGCATCAGTCAGCTCTGAACTCTTTGACCTACTAAGTTCTTTAGTTTGGGATTTAATTAGCACATGCTTTGTTTTTTCCTTATCTTTTACTTTAAGTTCTAAGCAGTTTCGATTTCTCAACCGTTCTTTTTCTTTTTGCTTAATTTTTTCCTTATGTTTTTTGTGCCACTGTTCTATTTCTAGGTCCTTAAGGCTTAGCATTCTTTCAAAACTTGTTTGCATTAAATCATCGTTGACTAATCTCTTTTCTTTAGGCCGAGAATCTTTTGACGCCGGCAATGACGTAGATTTAGGCTTACCTGCTTCAGATTTTAGTTTGAGCAAGCTATTCATTTGGAGCTTTTCCTTATGCTTGTCTCGTTCTTTGTACCTGTCTATATCTCTTTTATCTTTCTCTTTGCCATCTGGAGTTTTCAAAGGTTCATCTTTTGTTTTTTCTTTAAGGGATAATAATTTTTCCTGTGCTTTACTACTGTCTGCTGTACTTGACTTTTTTTCTTCCTGTAATTGTTTATGGTTAGTTATAGTTATACTTTCTTTGTCTCTAGATTTTCCCCTTTTATCTACATCCCTGTCTTTTTCTTTAATTTTGCCTTTTTCTGATTTAATGTACTCACTATTGTCTGATTGTTTATTTTTTTTCTCCATCAAGTACTTTTCTTTGTTTTCTGTGAGAGTCCTCTCCTTTTCGGGCGTTTCTTTGTCGTATTTTCTGTCCATCTTTTCTCTGATTTTCTTTCTTTCATCAGTTTTTTTAATGGCAGTTATATTTTTTATCTTCTCGTTTTCTTTAGAGCATTTCTCTGTGTGATGCGGATACAGCTTGTCCTTGTCTCTTCCTCTGTCAGCACATTCACTCATATCTAATCTCTCTCTCTCTGACTTATGATCACATTTGATGTGCTTCTCTTTTTCAGGAAGCTTTTTCTCAGCCTTCTCAATGTCCTTTTCTTTAGTTTGAAATCGTTTCTCAGATTTTTCCTTTATATACTTTTCTTGTTTTTCAATGTCTATTTCTTTTCCTATTGAAAAAGAAGGTTCCTCTTTGGCACTTATATCCAAAGAATTGAATTCTGTCTCTCTACTTGTGGATACAGTCTCTCTTTCTTCTTTTAAATCTTCCATTTTTTCTTCCCTGAAAGATTTCTCACTTTCTTTTTTAATCTTTTCCCTTTCTTCTTTAAAGTTCTTCTCTTTTGAGCTATACTTTTCCTTGGTTAATCTATCATCTTTCATGTTTTTCTCCAATTTAATTTTTTTTTCTAAAGTTAAGGTTTCATGTTCCATATTTAAAAGCAGGTCCTCAGGTTCATCACTTTTAAAAAAATTCTCTTTCCAAAATTCTCTATCAAATTCCACATTCCTCTGTAACTCTTTAGCACCATCCTTATTTTTGTGTTTTTCGTTTTCACCTTCAGTTTCTTTTCTCTGTTTTTCCTTTTCTCTTTCTTTATGTTTCAACTTATGCTTTTTTAATGTTTTACCTTCTATGTCCATTTTTTTCAGTGTGCATTCTGAATTTTCAAATGTTGCACTATGAGTTTCTTCCCTTATTTTGACACTTGATTTTTCACCAAATTCTAAATGGAAATCTTTCTGATGTTTGTTTTTTTCCTTATGTTTACAAGACTTTACACTTGAACTTTCTGGCAAGAATTCAGATTCTGTATTGTCATATCGAACGAGATCAGACTGCAATGACATTTCAGACTGTTTTTCACTTAGTCCACAAGAATGTTTTGGAGATTTACCAGTGGAAATATGAAATAAATGTAATGAAGTATCATCTTTTGGGCTAAATGATTTTCTAAAATTCCCTTCCTCTCTGGTTTTCTCTGAAAAATCTAATGCAGTATTAACTGTTGAGTTTGTTACTCTAGTGTTTTCTTTCTCCTCTTTCTCGTGCTTCAGCTCTTGATTCTCTTTATTTTTGTTCTGGTTCTTTAACTTTCTTTTAACTTTGCCTTTATGTTTGTATTCATTTGATATCACAAACTCCTTTTTGGTTTGCATGTCAGAATTTGATGGTTCAGGGGCAGAACAAGGAGTAGTAACCTTATTTTGAAGAATTTCTTCATCTGAACTTTCAGAACTTGAATACAAAATTCTAGATGATTTTTGTTTTTTATTTTTAAATGATTTAAGATAGAAAGCATTTTCCTGTTTTGCAAATAAATTATTCTTTTCTATTTCTGATTCATTCTCTTTTCGTAGCTCTTTCCTAAGAATATGCCTGTTATCAATCATCTTATTCATTTCTTCATCATCGTCATCTTTGAACTCATATTCGTCAAGGGTAGATGGAAGAGGTGCTTTACTGGGAACTCTTTGTTTACTTTCACAGATGAGAGAGTCTTTCTCTGTTTCAGAGTCAATAATTTCATCAACACTGGAAGGATTTATAGATTGAGCCTCTTCAGAATCTAGGATAAGAAAAGAAAATCGTTGTTGGTCTAGGGACAATTATCAGAAAAATACGATTGAGAGAAAAATAATATACATAGTAAATTTTTCAAATAAATCAGGAAAAATTTCAGGTTTATATGTGAATGACAGATATAGGTTAAGATTTTGATACCTTATAATAAAACACCCTTCTAGAGTGAAAAAGATGAGTTCTTTTAGACACATTCAAAAGCAGAGTGTGTACTGAATTCACCATAAAGAGGAGTCTTCAAAAAGTTCATGGAAATGCATACTATAAGAAACAATGCATGGTTTCAAAAACATTATGCACCAAAATAAACATGTACTGACTTGTTATAAGATGTCTAGAGAGGATACAGTTTGAGGCACTAGAAAGGACCAGACATCAGTTTGAAACAGGCCTCTAGCAGAGTAACATTAGCTTTGTTTAAATTAAAGCAAGAACAAACATCAAATTTATGGAGAAGTGTGTGTGGGTCGATGAACAGTGAGATCACTGATGGGTTATGAAAAGCTTATGGAGAAAATGGTCCAAAGGAATAAGCAGTTGGGCCCGGTCACTGAGCCACTGCTAAGAACTCAGCAGCCTCACCCTTAAGCAGCCCCCTCCCCCACCCATTTCCTGACACTCCTCCACCCCCATCTTCAGCAAGCTGTCTCTCCAAGGAAAAGGAATTGTGTGTCTCTTATCCAGAAGCTTCTCTCTCTCCACCCTTGTGCTTGATGAAAGTAAAAGGGTAATGACCTGCTTCCTGCTGGGACTGAGGATTATATCCATAAGAAGTCAACAGAGAAAGGACAGGAAGACCCTTACTACTATCTAAGGCAGAGGTTCTTAACCTGTGGGTCACGACCCTTTTGGGGGTCAAATGACCCTTTCACAGGGGTTGTCTAAGACCATCGGAAAACACATATTTCTGATGGTCTTAGGAACCGAGACACCACTGCTTCTCTATCCGGCTCCAGGTGGGTCCACCCACATGCAGATATGCCCACATACAAGTACTCCCATGCTACACCATGCTTCAAGACAAAATTTTATTTATTTGTAATGAGAAGTAAATATTTCACAATATATAATTACATATTGTTTTTGTGATGCATCACTACGCGTTATGTTCAATTTGTAACAATGAAAATACATCCTGCATCAGATATTTACAATGTGATTCATAACAGTAGCAAAATTACAGTTATGAATTAGCAACGAAAATGATTTCATGGTTGGGGGTCACCACACATGAGGAACTGTATTAAAGGGTCATGGCATTAGAAAGGTTGAAAACCACTGATCTAAGGCACTGCTAATGATTATGATAAAAAGAAGCTAGCGAAGGTGTTTAAGATGAAATTTGCTTGCAATGGTATTGTAACTGAACATTCCAAATATAAATAAGTAATTCAACTACAGAATGACCAGTGTAAGAACATATGCTAGGTCCTTGTAAAGATTGGGTTGGCTAAGGACAACCAACTGAGGGTTCATGGGTTTGAATTGCTTGTGGCTTACTGAAACGTAAATGAGGATTTCTTTGCTATGGGTAGAAAATTTCCTTCTTTTCCTTGTCACAGGTGTAAAATCTCACAGTGTGTATAACTGTGGCAGTTACAGAATCTCCTGTCAAATTGTGAAGGGGTGGAGTCAATCAGTTCGCAGCCTGATGATCTCATTCGGAGGCACTAAGGAGATAAATAGCTCGCTGGAGGCAGGACACAGACACTCTGCTTCATCTTCCTGGTGACAAGATTCCTGGAGCTAGCCTACAGCCCTGGATCTGGAGAAGCCACGTGGAGACCCCTGACAGCACTGAGATGCTCCCACTGCCACTGCACCCACAAGACTTTCCACTCACTGGCCTGTGATCTTCCTGCATTCGGTATTATTGCATGTGTTGTGTGAGTCTGAAGAACAAACTGCAGACTGGTATCAGATTTATTGGCTAATATCTGACTTATGGACTTGATCTGGACTGGGATGTTTTCTCAATAGTCAATTGTTCTTTATATAAAGCTCTTTTTTATACACATGTGAGGGTCTCTGGATTTGTTTCTCTATTTCATCCAGACTGACACAACCATGTGTGGTTCGTTTTTAACTTGGACCCCTTCATACAATGAACTGAAAAGAGCTATGCGGTTTAGTTTTGAGGTCCCTCATTGAAACTGAGGTCAAGCAGTAAGCACTTGGCATGCCTAGTCTGAAACAAAGCAATAGCACCATGTGTCAGCCAGATCATAGACCCAAGTTCTCACAGATGGCTACGTCTGAATAGAAGTTCTCCAACCCTAAGAAAATGGTATCTGCCACCTGGACAATCCTAAGCAGTGAGGAGGGGAAGGAATAAGGCAGTTGTACCACTCCAGGGAAGCTTTGAGAAAGATCTCCTGGTGTTGTCCAACCCGACAAGGGGGCATATCTTAGGAGTGGCCTCCTTCCCTCTGGTGAGGTGATGGGACATCTGGCTTTACCACCAAGGTCTCTGTTCTGTTAGACAAGACAAAACCTTTGGGGAGTCCATAGATAATCAGAATGTGAGGCCAACCTTTTATGGGAGCTAAACTTTTAACAAAGGAAAAATTTCAAACTGATGTAGCCATGTGAAGTAAAAATTGTTCCCCCTAAACTTGTTTTATTGTTATATATTTAAACTATTGCTTAAATAAAAGTTCTTTACAGAAACACTTAAAGAAATCAGCAGTTAAAACGGAATAACTCATTCGAGGTTGATGATATTGACTATGACATTGATGATACTGAAGATGAAGCCCACAGCAGACCATCTAAAACAATCTTTCTGTGTGTTCCCTAACTTAAACCCAATGATTGAGAGCAGAAACAATAGTTAACACTAGACATCTCAAGTCTGATGGAGATGTAGTGCCAGGCAACCTTTCCACTGTTTGGGTGCCAACACTGTGGAGTCCACCTCGGCTGCAGCCAGGAACAGACTTTTCCATGGATTTGTAAACACACAAGATCAAGATCTGATGCATTTCTTGGAAAAACGATAACAGGAGATGAAACATGGCTTAACCTGTACAATCCTGAAGATAAAGCATAACTTAAGACAACGGTTACTAAGAGGTGAAGTAGCCCAATTAGGGAACAGGTGGATTCATCAGGAGCAAAGTTCATAGTAACAGTTTTGTGGGGATGATCACGACATTTTTCTTTTTGGAGGGGGAAAGAACAATAACATCTGCTTATAATGGGAGCACTCTGGCTCATCCTTTGCAAAACAGGGCAATTTTGCAAGTGTTTCCATGAGAAATCATTAGGCATAGATTACAGTCCCGATTTGGCTTTTTCTGACTTATTTTTGCTCCCTAATCTAAAAATATATTTCAAGCGCATCTGTTTTTAATTCAATTAGTAATGATTGCATTGACATGGTAAAATTTCCAAGACCCTAACAGTTCTTTTAAGGATGGACTAAATGACTGGACTCATCACTTACAAAAGTGTCTTGACAGGGATGGCGCTTAAATATTTTTGAGAAACAAAGATCCTATTTTTAATTTTCCTCTTAATTCTATTTTCTCACAAAAAATTTGAAGACCCTTCCTACATATAATGCAAAATATATTAATTTAGAGCAGTTTCATAACTAACTGGTGTGTATTTGGGGAAATGTTAGCTACTAAATATGATACAGAATTGTATATATACACATTTTTAATGAACAGATTATTTCATTTAAATCAAGAACAATTAACTTAAAGGGCTTAAAAAGTACATATGACAGGGAAATAGATCTATGTTCATATATTTATAGGTTTAGTATTAAGGTAGCAGATGGAGATTGGGCCTCCACTCAAGTACTCCCTCAATGCAAGATAATTTGTTCTATTAAACTGGCATTCAATGATCTTTTCCTACCCAACACGATCACTGAAGACAAAGCGGATGCATAAGCAAATGTGGTAAAGAAAGCTGACGGTGCCCGGCTATCAAAAGATATAACGTCTAGGCTCTTAAAGACTTGAAGGTAAACAAGTGGCCATCTAACTCAGAAGCAACAAAGCCTACAAGGAAAAAGCTCACCAGCCTGTGTGATCATGAGGTGCAGAAGGGATCAATTATCAGGTGTCAAAGAACAACAACAACAAAAAATCATTGTGAATGAGGAGGAGTACAGATTGGGGACCCAAGACCCATCTGTAGGCAACTGGACATCCCCTTACAGAAGGGTTGCGGGGAGGAGACAAGGCAGTCAGGATGCAGTGTAGGAACGATGAAACATACATCTTTCTTCTAGTTCCTAAATGTTTCCCCCACCCTCTACCTCTACTATCATGATCCCAATTCTACCTTACATATCTGGCTATAACAGAGGATGGACACTGGTACAGATAGGAACTGGAAACACAAGGAATCTAGGACAGATGATCCCTTCAGGACCAGTGCTGAGAGTGGCGATACTGGGAGGGTGGAAGGAGGGTGGGGTAGAAAGGGGGAACCGATTGCAAGGGTTTGCATGTAACCTCCTCCCTGGGGAATGGACAACAGAAAAGTGGGTGAAGGGAGACATTGGACGGTGTGTAGGATATAACAAAATAACAATAATTTATAAGTTATTAAGGGTTCGTGAGGGAGGGGGGATGGTGAGGAAGGAAAAAAAAAGTGAGGAGCTAATACCAAGGGCTCAAGTAGAAAGCAAATGTTTTGAGGATGATGGCAACAAATGTCCAAATGTGCTTGACACAATGGGTGTATGTATGGATTGTGATAAGAGTTGTACGAGCCCCTAATAAAATGATGAAAAAGTACATATGACAGGTTTTGTTTGCTTCAAAAAATTTGCTAGTAAAATTATGGTAATTGTAGGTTCCCACATATTATGTAAATAGAGGTGAATAATTTTTATCATATAAGGAAAAAAACAAATTAAAAAATTCTAAAAAAATTACATGAACTAGAGGCCAGTTACATAATCAATATTATAACAGAAAAATTGAATAGATAATATAAATAGAAAAAAGGTTCTCTATTTCT